TTGCCCAACCTTCCTTCCGAGGAGTGGCTGGTGGGTTTGAACTGCCAGCCTTCTGGTGAGCAGTCAAGTGCCTTAGGCACTATGCTACCAGAGCTCCTAGGAACATTTATAGGGTTGTGGAAAAATCCCTCATCAGAAAATTTGGACTCAGATCTTAGACATGCCTCTGCTTATCCATTACTACTTTTAGCTACATCCAGTTTTCTCATTTATGAAATAGGGATAATAAATCTGTCATGAAGAGTAAGTGGAATACATGTGTAAAATCGTTTGTCATATAATTAAGAAAAAGAAAAATAGTTGTCATCAAGTTGACTCCAACTCACAGCAACCCCATATGTGTCAGAGTAGTACTATGTTCTGCAGGGGGTTCAATGGCTGGTTTTGTGGAAATAGATCACCAGACCTTTCTTCCAAAATGCCTCTGGCTGAACTCCAACTGCCAAATTTTTGGTTAATAGCCAGCCAAGCATTTAACCATTTTGACCAGCCAGGGACTGGTCATATAATAAATCAAACCAAACCTGCTGCCATTGAGTTGATTCCAACTCATAGTGATCCTATGTGTTATAGAGTAGAAATGTTCCATGGCGTTTTCTTGACTGTAATCTTACAGAAGCAGATCACCAGGGCTTTCTTTGACACTGCCACTGAGTGGGTTCAAACCACCAACCTTTAGGTTAGTAAACGAGCACAAACCACTTGCACAACCCAGGGATTTCTCATGGCAACCAAAAAAGTGTGCAGATCAGATGTTTTTACTATTAAATGTATTTGCACACATAAAATATATTAACATCTGCAGTGTAGTAAATTGCATAGTGTGGCATTTCTAGCCATAAGTCTTTGTAAACTCCATGGTGGAACTTGCCGTGAGCAACTGAATAGCTTCTGATTATTAAAGTTATCCACCTGACATATTTCTTTTGGGAACATCAGAAAGTAATTTTCTGGGAGGTTTGCTGTCTCTCAGATGTATAGAATTCTGATGCTGAGATTGGTTAGTTTGGCTGCTCTGCCAGGCTCAAAGGGAGCCCACCTAGAGGCAGAAGGAATCTCTCACTGCAGCTGAGAGACACTGAGAGACATGCACTGCTCTGAGAGAGACTGTCAGCTCAGAGATAGCAGGCTGAGAGAGACAGAGCATGTTTCTGAACTTGAATTGTAGCCTGTTGCTTCCCTAATAAACCCCATAATCTGTGAGTTCTATAGGGCCACTGCAGAGAATTATCAAACCCAGCAAAGAGGTGGTGGGTGCTGCAGGAGGAACAGTAGGTGTCAGGGTTGGTGAAAGGGCTGGAGGGAGGCAGCATGTTTGGTCTCACAGGAATAGACCATGGGTTACTGATGGTGATTCTGTCTTCCTTTTGTGGGGTTAGAGGAGGTCAGAAGATGCGGCCTCCCTGCCCCTTTGGCACATCACAACATACAAGTAAAAGAAAATTCACAGTTAAAAATCACTTTCAGAATGAAGTTTTACAACTGAGTAGCATATTGTTGTTATGGATTGAATTGTGTCTCAAAAAAATATGTATTAAAGTCTTGGCTATCTATACCTGTGGATATGATCCTACTTTGAAATAGGAGCGCTTCTTTTATTATGTTAATGATGCCATACCAATGCAAGATAGGTCCTAAACCTAATCACTTCTGAGTTGTATAAAGAACAGAAATGACATAGAGAGGCACAAAAAAGGAAAAGAGATGCCATGGAATGCCAAGGCCTGCTGCTAGTTACTAGATGCTGAACTAGACAAAAATGATCTCCCCATAGTGCCATGCCCTGAATTCAGACTTCTAGCATCCAGAAGTGTGAGAAAATAAATTTCTGTTCTGTTCTTTAGAAACAACCACCTTTAATATTTTGTTATAGAAACATTAGGTAAGACAATGTCAATTAAAAATCTTTTTAATGTAAAGGGTAATTTCTTATTAAGAATATCTTTAAAGATAGATTCTAAAACATAGTTCCAAAAGCCTCTTCCTTGTCCTGTTAAGCTATTGTTATGCCAAACAATAGACAGGCATATGGGGTGAACATTTACATCAGGTAGATATACTCCTTGGAGCAATCAATCATGGGAGAACAGAAAAGCAGTGTGTGCACAGGGAGACAGCTTGGGGGCTGGGAGTGTGTGGGAGGGAAGGACACAGGGAAGAGGTAACTATGAGAAGGAAGTGGGAGAGAGCTGTTTCATTGTGCAGAATTGCAGTCAATATCATGAGACAAAATGTGTATGGACTGCTGTATGGAAAATGAATTTCCTCTGTAAACTTTCACCCAAATCACAATAAAAATTTGAAAGAAAAAAACAAAGAATTTGAGTTCTAGTTTACATTTTTCTCCCATTCTATCAGGATCCATCTATTGTGACCCTGATCAAAACATTTGGTAATGGTAGCCAGCCTCTATCTAGTTCTTTTAGTCTCATGGTAAATGAGGCCATGGTTCATGTAGGCTATTAGTCCTGCAGACTGTGTTCTTCTCTGAGTCTTTGGTTTCCTTATTTCTCTTTTGCCCTGGATGATTAGAGACCAGTAATTGTATCAGATGGCTATTTGCAAGCTTTTAGAACTCTAGGCACTACTCATCAAATTAGGATGTAGATTTTTTGAACTACTTTATGCTAACTGACTGAGTTGTTCCACAAGACTACGGTCATAAGTCTTCAAATCCAGTAAACCACTCTCACAAGGTGTTTGGTTACTTCTAGGAAGTACTCATAATGAATATATATGCATGATCACACATTCATGTTTATACACATGTGTATAGACACACACATGCATACATGTATACCACATTTTAATGCAAATAACATGCATATTGTATGGTTTTTTGTTTTTGGGTTTTTTTTTTTTTTTTGGCAAACTACACAACACCCTGGCACATTAGTTTACTATGCACACTATGTACATGATATGCATATGTGCATTTCCATGAGCATTTTATATGTGAAAAATGTGATACACACATATATCTACATACACATATATATGCATGTATACTTACATGTAATGACACATGTGTTTTTTTTGGTGGTTGTTGCTATTGAATTTATTATATCTTATGTTTAAAAGGTAAGTAAAAGCTTATGAGGAATTTTGTGAAGAAAAATTATTTTTTCCCCGAAAGTAATGACTCTAATTTTTGTTTGTTTTAAAAATGGTAAGGAGTTTTATATAAAAATAAGCAAGATATATGAAGACATAAATAAGTATCCAGAGGATACTCACTATTAAGATCACAGTGCCTTTAAAAAAAAACAAAATACAAGAATATGATCATACTAAACCTACAGCCCTTGAGTCAATTCCAACTCACAGCAAACCCATTGGGTTTCCAAAGCTGAAAATCTTTCCAGAAGTAGGTTGCCTCATTCTTCCCATAGAGCAGCTGGTGGGTTTCAACCACTGACCTTCTGGTTAACAGCCAAATAAATGCCTTACTCACTATGCCACCAGAGCTCCTTATGATCATACTGGTCATGTTATTTTAAAACTTTCTTTTTCACTTAATGCATCATGTCCATCTATCCATGTCAATACACTCCATGACAGTTTTAATGAATGAAAAAGAGTTAAGAAAAAAATTATAAATGCAATGCTAAGAGTGTCATGTATTTCAGTCTGTCTATAGCACTGTTTCTCAAAGTGTAGTCCATACTTTACTTGCTGAAGAATTGTTAAAAACACATAGAATCTCTAGGTGGAGGACCCAGGATTCCCCATTTATAGCAAGTGCCCAAATTATTCATTAAGTTTGAGAATCAAAGGTTTCTTTAAAGAAAGGCCCTATTTTCACTAACACATCAGAATTTTTTTTTTCATTTTCTATCTGATTTTTTATTTTAGGAGACAGCAATGGATGGCCTATGCAATTCGACAATTATTATGCAAAATACTACAAAATGACTTCCCTGAATCCCTTTGAGACAGAAATATTTGAATGCTGTAAGTAACCAGAGAAATGGGTCTGCTGTTCCTTGAATTCATAATAAGACATGATGTTTTAAAAAGTTTGATTCCATTTATTTTAAGTTAATTATAGTTTTCTAGTTGCCAACCTCATTAGAAGTGAAGACTTAATATGGGAATTTTATTTAAAAATGATTTAGGGACTTTAAGTGTAAAAGTAACAAATAATGTAAAGTATTATTGTAAACAAAATTAATGTCAGTCTGTCAGGGTTGCTGTTTTATGTAAATGCCCTTTTCACTAACGATTTTATAAATTCTGATGTAAAGGAAACTGAGAAAACAAGCATGGAGAAGCTGTGTGGATTTAAGTATTTGCAAGTGAAAAATCCTCCAGGAACTAAGCTATATTTTAGAACTGCAAAGCCTTATTACCATAACCTACTGTGTTTAGCCACCTACTCAAAACTTGCAAAAATACTGACAGGCTTTGGCGGGGGCAGGGGAGGGGTGGTAGGTTATAACCTGCATGTTAACTCTATAATATTTTATATCAGGAAGTCCTATGAAAGAGAACTTTCTTTAAATAAATTTTATCTATTCCCTAAATTATTCAAACCTAAATTTGTACCTTAAAATGTAATTTTGCCCCTGATGATTCCAGATCTGGTTAAAAAGCAGAAAATAAAGGAAAGAACATTTATTACAAATTTCCTTTTATATTCTACTACAAAGCCCAGTTTTCTTATGTTTTTAAATAGTGCCTAAGGGATTTGACTGCTAATCAGAAGGCTGGCAGTTCAAACCCACCAGCCACTCCTCAGAAGAAAGACTGGGTAATCTATTTCAATAGAGATACTGCCTGGGAAACCCAAGGAGGGGTCCCTATGAGTCAGGACTACTCAACAGTAGTGAGTTTTGGTTCCACAAATGAGATTAATAAAACAAAAACTGTACTAACAACTCTCAATTTAAGGGGATAATACGTATCTCTCCTGTGAGTCTCACAGATTACTCAGTAGCTATCTATTTTATTTATCTCCAAGATCATGGAGATAAGATTTTTTGATCATTAATAAGTCAACAGCTTTTGAGAAAAAGCAAAGTTAACAGATATAATTTAACTACTAATGTAATATAAAAAATTCTATGAATTAGGCTTTAGTATCTCAAAAAGTGGTTATTGTTTAATTTTTGCTGCATTATATATTCTTTTCTCTTTATTTCTTAAATTTTAATTAACTTGTTTTATAGCTCATCTTATCTTCAAAAATAGTTTAGCTAGCTTTTGACTGCTAACAGGCTTAAACCATTAATATGAGACAAAAGACAAAACCCAAGTGATGGATGGGAAGAGAAATGGAAGGGAAAATATATATTTATAAGGAAATCCTCATGATTAAAAACTTAGCATCTAAATCCAAAGCTTAGTTCTAAACTTTGTGGTCATTAGGTCAAAGAGGGAAGCATAATGAGTCACATAACTCTCAAAGTGTGGTTTGTAAGGCAGAAACAAACAAATGATGGAAAAAAACAGATCAAGTCATCAAGAGAATAAATTTTTGCCTGGGGCCATGCTCTGGGAGGAATTTTTTACAAGCATATTTATTTAAGAGAAGTGGAGCTACACAATAAATGACATATGGAGGACGATCCAAGATGGCAGACTAGGCAGATACACTACCCAGACCTTCCACAACAAAGAGTCAAAAAACAAGGGAAATAGCTAAAGACTACAATCTTGTATCCCAGAGCTTCACAGGAAAAGATAAAGAAGTAGACCAAATACCAATGAGAGGAAGAGACTGAACAAATACAATGAAGGAGACGTAAACTGCCAACTAGTACAGTGTGGCCCTTTTGAATTATTGCAAGCAGCATTCTGATCAGGAATAAGAACAAGATAACTGTTTCCACTTTCACAGGACTATACCAACATCCACATTGGTGATCAGGCCCCTTGAGAGATATGCTCTCCCTTCTTACCTTGCCCAACCTCCTGGTGAAATAGAGGCACAGTACTTCCAGCCCCACCCACCTGGGACCAGTAAAACACCCCAAATACCAGTCATGTGTCACATTTTTTTCCTGGTTTTTTTTTCTTTATCTTTCTGCTTAGTTCTCCTGTCTTCTCCTCTCCTTTTCTTTTTTTTTTTCCTTTCCTCTTCCCTTGTCATTTTCCTTTTTCTTTTTTTGATCCAAAAGAACCCATTCCCTGCTGCACACACAGTTAGCAGTACCTGTTCCTACCCCTTCCCATGCTTTCTGGCATAGTAAGTGCTACATTCCTGCAAAGCCCTGTTTGGTGACTTCCACTTTAACCAGCACTTTTTTCTTCTTTTCTTTCCTTCGTCTTAATTCCTCCCTTTTCTCCCCCTTGTTTTCCTTCCATGGTCAACACCCACACCCACCCTTCCATGAACGGTGGTATGTGCTCCCCCAGAGTAAGCTCCATGTTCCTGCTGCAACTGTGTTTGTGTTAACACCAGCACCAGTTTTTTCTGATTCTTTTTCCCTTTATCTCAGACCTACCCTCTTTCCTTCCTTGCTTCCCCCATCACTTTCTTTCTTTCTTCTTCATTTTTATTTTTGATCAAGCTGAGCAAGTAGCTTGCCCACCAACCACCTCCTCATTCAGTAGTGCTGTCCGTGAACCTTCATATTAGGAGATGTGTGCTCCTGTGGAGTAAGTGACACATTTCTACAATAGCCATGTTTGTGGCTACCATTTTCATGAGTATTGTACCTCAATTCCTTTTTGCTTTTTTCCTTCTTTTTCTAGTTTTTCTCTTCCTTCATTTCACTTTTTCTTTGTTCTTAGATCTCCACTTTCCCTTCCTCTGTTTTTTCCTTTTACTTTTTTTCTCTCCCCTCCATGCTCCCTTTCTTTTCCCCCTTACCATTTACCTTTACCCAGCAGTTGGGAGCCAGCAACCCTACTAAAACATACCCACCCACACATGCTACCCCATGAAGAGAGTTCCACCACCTTCTCTATCACTACTGGACTGAAGATAGATGGCAGCCAACACTCATCTAGCATGCCCTCAGTTACTCTGCACAAACAGTGATCAGAGACTAATGTCCTTACTCCGACCCACTACCAAACGAACCCAGAGACAGGTGATGAACAACTCAGTGTGCCAAACTAGTAACCAGAGTAACATGCCTGCCCTGTTGCCTGGATACATTAAAACAGAATGAAACAAAAAATTATGGTGAAGCAAACCAATATACAATCAACAAATTAATACAATAACACTACAGTGTCTCAGACACGACAGAAAACTTCAAATCACACACACACACACACACACACACACAAGGGACAAGATGGCTCAAACAAGTGACCAAAATACATGGCCAGAAAACATCTTGAGGAAAAAATGCTATTGGAACTACCAGATAAAGAATTCAAAAGAATTATATTTAGATATTTTTGAAGTATTCAGAGAAAGTGTGAGGAAATCAAAGGCAAAATCAAGAAAAACATAGACAAAATTCTACAAAAATTTTTTGTTAAATGAAAGAAAAGTTGACAAAATAAATAGAAACCATACAAAAATAGCAAATGGAAATCCAGAATATTAATACTAAAAATTCAGAAATAAACAATGCAATGGAAGAACATAGGAGTAGAATTAAGTCAATGCAACACAGAATTAGTGAACTTGAAGGTAATCTGTCAATATTAATCTGTTAAAAAAATTAAGAACGTTTAAGGATTATGTAGGATGCCATTAAGAGGAATGGTTTAAGTGTGGTAAGAATTCCAAAACAGTAAAAGACAAGAAAATTATTAAAGATTTTTTGGAGGAAAACTTCCCTATTATCATGAAAAACAAGAAGATATGCCTTCAAGAAGTTCAATGAACCCCAAATAGGATAGACACCAAAAGAAAATTACCAAGAAATATCATAATCAAACTTTCCAAAGACAAAGAAAAACTGATAGCAGTTCAGGAAAAAACTAAAAGTCACCTATAAAGGAGGAATAATAAGAATAAGCTCTGATTTCCTGGTAGAAACCATGCAGGTAAGAAGGCAATGCAGTGACATAAATGAAACCCTAAAAGACAAAAAGTGTCAACCAAGAATAATACACCCAGCAAAATTTTCCTTCAAATATGATGGCAAAATTAGGACATTTGCAGGTAGACAGAAATAAAGGGAATTTGCAAAAGGCTTAGAAGAAATGCTAAAATGAATCATACAGAGAACCAACAATGGCAGGCAACAAGCGGAGATTAAGACACATGACAACAACACCTGGAAATCAGCTCAAATATACAAGTACCAATAGTAAAATAAAAACACAACACTGAAAATCAGGAATCAGAGATGTCAATTTGTAAACAATAACTACAAAACAAAAAGAAGGAAAAAATGATATAATTAAGGAACTTCCAAATGGAGAGGAAGTCAAGATGATATAAAGATAGAACAGACTACTTTAAACATAGGGAGATAATAATAAATTACAAGATAATTTCAAAGAAAATTAATAATCTTCATCAAAATAAAAAAGAAGAAAATCATGAAGTCACAATAAACTCAAAAGCAATAGCAATGAAGGAAATGATAAGAAACCATAAACAAAACAAATTCAGCATGGAAAAATATATTGCACAAAGAAACCATCAGTAACCCATGCCAAAAAAAAAAAAAAAGCAAAATGGCAGCGGTTAATTCATACCTACTATTGATAATTACATTGCATATAAATGGACTAAATGCACCAGTCAAGTTACAGAGAGTAGCAGAATGGATAAGAAAATATGGCTCATTGATATGCTGTCTACAAGAGACACACCTTAGATACAAAGACAAAAATTATGCTAAAAATCAAAGGATAGGAAAACATATCAAGAAAACGGCAACAAAAAAAGGAGTGAAAACATTAATTTCTGATAAAATAGAATTTAAGGCAAAAACCAGCAAGAGATGAGGAGGGACATTGTATAATGATTAGCAGGTCAATCAAACAAAAGGATATATCCATAATAAATAAAGAGAAACAGGTAACTCCACAATATT